TTAAGCTGTAAGAACAGTTAGCAAGAAGCCTGCCACGGCCATACAGTTTGTAACCAGTATAAGTCTCTGTGTTTACTTGGTCGGGTCTGAGTGACTGTGGGACTGGCGGGTGACAGAGATTTGTCCTGACTGTGGGCCAGGCAGGAAAACTCCAACTACAAGCACCCACCTACAAAGGCCAAGCACAGCAGTGCGAGCTTGCAACCCAGTGCTGGGCAAAGTGAGACAGTCCAGCCAAATCGATGAGTTCCAGGTTCAGTGAGAAAATGTGCCTCAGAAAAGAAGGTGTGCAGGGTCAGATGGAGAAAGGACTGGGAGTAAAAGCCCTTGCTACACCAGCATTAGAAATCTGGATCCCAGCAACCACGTAAACAATCAACATGCAGCTGTGCACTCGTGCTGCCCAGCTCTCGGAGTCGTGGGGAGACAGAAGGACCACTGGGAATCACTGGCTACCAGCCTAGCTTCTCAAAGAACGCAGTGGAGAGTTCTATAGCAGCATTCCAGCACCTTCCTCTGGCATCTGCTTTCATTTACACAAGTGTATGTACCTAGGCATGAGCACGCCCATGTGCACACATGCGCAGGCGCGCGCGCACACACACACATACAAACACACAGAAAAAAAGAAAAAGACCTCTGGTCTCCCCATATTTCCCACACACATGCATATGAATGGGTACATATGAACACATACACAAACTATAACTAAGTAAATAAATGAAAAGTACAACTACCATTGATCTAGCAATACCAGTCCTGGGAATACACCTGAAGAGTTCTTTTGCACAGAGATACTTGCACATTCATGTTTACTGTTGTACAATTCACAATAGCCAGGATATGGAAACAGTCTAGATGTCAATAGACAGGGAAATGGAAAGAGAAAATGTGGTAGTTTACATACATAATGGAATTTTTCATTTGTAAAGAAGAGCTGAACTACGGCATTTTCACAAAAATGGATGGAACTAGAGATGACTGCTAATCAAATCAAGTAAGTCAGACTCAGATAGACATCTTTCATATGCAGCAGAATCTAGACAGACAGACAGACAGACAGACAGACACACACACACACACACACACACACACACACACACGATAGAAAAGGGATCTGGGAAGAGGAATAAGTCTATCAATTAAGAGAGGTAAGATGGGGAGACGGAATGTACGTGACCCAGAAGTACAAGAAGTGGGTGTTGGAGGAGGAAGAAGGCCAGTAGGGAGACAGAGGGAAGAAATGAGAGGGCTAACATATAGAATATTTCATATGTGTATAGATTCATGTCATAATAATTTGTATGCAAGTTTTTAAAATAAATAAAAACACTGGATGAGAACATAATCAAGAGGGGAAATTTATCTCACCAGTCATTGGGCAAGTATTTTCAAAACCTTTTCTTTTTTTTTTTTTTTTTTTTTTGTTTTTTTGTTTTGTTTTGTTTTTTGAGACAGAGTCTCTCTGTGTAGCTTTGCACCTTTCCTGGAACTCGCTCTGTAGACCAGGCTAGCCTCGAACTCACAGAGATCCGCCTGGCTCTGCCTCCCGAGTGCTGGGATTAAAGGCGTGCGCCACCACCACCCGGCTCAAAACCTTTTCTTATCAGGTGCTTCGAAGACAGGAATAAAGGGGACCAAAACTGTGGCTGATGCTGTAGGTTCCTGGAGTCTGGGGGCAGCAATCTGACTGTTCATAAACTTCAAATGAATATGCCTCTTTCTAAGTTTTATTTTATTTATGTTAGGTGTGTGTCTGTGTGTCTGCCTGTCATGGGCATGCAGGTGCCCTTGGACATCAGAAGGTGTCCGGTCTTTTGGAGCCTGTGTTACAGGCAGTTCTGAGCTGCCTGGTATTTGTTCTGGGAACCAAATGAGGGTTCACTGAAGAGCAGCAAATGCTTTTAACAAATGAGTCATCTCTCTAGCCCCCAAATATGCTTAGTATACTCCTCAGACAAATGCACTGGCATGAAAATCAGAAACTGATTGTACGGCAGTTCACATCACAATATTAATAATAGCAAATATTGGAATAGCCTACATGGTTATAAAACTTACAGTACACTCATGACAGTGAGTAAATTAAAAATTGCATAACAGATCTATAATGATGTAAGTTTTCAAAAACATCTTAAAGGGAAAGAAGGAAATAGCAAAGAAACATGTCTGAGTCCATTTATGACATTGATATATAATTATTTATACAAATTATATACAGCTATATACATATTAATTTATACTATGTTCATATTACCAAATTGATTATTTATACTAAAAAAAGCTAAGAGGGTATACAGTAATCTACCATTTAACTGAACAGGAAACAGGAAATTTTTACATTTTTTCTGTCAATATTTCTATAGCAGATGAATATTTTACTCTAAATTCTAAAGAAGAAAGAAATATTTAAGAAGCCAAACACATACATATAAAACCTATAATTTTTCAACATAAGCTGGGAGCAAGCATGCTAAAATAAGAAATGCAGCCCTGATGTCAAGTGCAAGTCTGGCACTCACAGCTGGGTCAGCTCACCACCTGAGTAACCTCATGTAAAGCAGACAAGGTCTGGGACATAAAAGGACAACCAAATACTGTGCAACAGTGTCTAAAGAGACGAGAACACGAACACCGTCCAACCTCACGTGACCCAGCATCCTCTACCTTGCCTCGAGGCTGACTGCTACTTCTTTACTCATGGGCTTTCACCTTCCCTGGGTGAGATCCTGACTCACATCCCATTCCTGTTTCCCTATAGATCCCTAAGGACTCTGTGAATGATCACCTACACATGGATGCTCAAGGACCTGAAATGCTCTCCCACAGACTCCTGCATTTGAGCACTGAGTTCTTTGGAAAGATGCAGAACCTTGAGGAGGTAGAGCCTTACTGCAAGATGTAGGTCACTGGAAACGGGCCCACCAAGCTTTATAAGCTGGCCCCACCCCTGTTCACCCACTGTTTCCTGAATGCACACGCACTGTGACCAGGCAGACTCTGTCCCCTCCCCTGTTCACCCGCTGTTTCCTGAGTGCACATGCTCTGTGACCAGGCAGCCCCCACTCCTGCCACCATGCCTCTTCCGGCAGCTGCCATGTCTTCCCCACCATGAGGAACTGTAAAAGAGAAAAAAAAAAAAACCTTTCTCCCTTAAGTTGCTCTTGTTAGGGTATTTCATCACAGCAACAGGAAAAGAAACGATCACAAAACCCAAATCCTTTAAAAAGTCCGTTCCAACACTGTTACTGAGACAGCTCACAACGCTCACACTTCAATAACAACAAACTAAGTATCTTGCAAGCATGCTCCCCTAGCAGTCTCTGACTGGTGAGCAGTGACACAGAACACAAGACTAGTAAGATGTCCGACCTGGGAAGGCAAGAGAGAGAGACTATCAAATGTCTATTTGAGATGGAATTGTCCATCCGCCTCACTACTTACCCACAGTAAAAAGCAGAAAGAGAAATCACTGGAGGCCGGAGAGATGGCTCAGAAGATCAAGTCAATTCCCATCACACACATGGTGGCTCACAACTGTCTGTAACTCCAGTTCCAAGGCATCTGATGCCCTTTCCTGGCCTCCACCACCAGGTATACACAGTACATATACATACATGCAGCCAAAACATCCACACAGAAAATTTTTTAAATGAAATGGGAATTATTATACAAAGAGTTCAAAATGTCATCTCTGTTTTCCATGGAATTAATATTCCAGTTGATATGCTTGAATACCACAAACTCATTGCAGCAATATGCCAGGTAATACAAAGGTAAGCATCACCTCTCTGAGCTTAGACTTAACAATATTAACAGTAAATAACAGTCAACATTTCATAATACTTCTGGGCCAGGACTTACATTAAGCCATCATTTAAATTTCTCAGGAATACTATTAGATAGATACTCATAATTTTATTGGACATGTTAGTTTTTAAAATGGGAGAAATGTAACTCAAATCAGATTCATGAGAGTCAATATGTGATCTTAACCACTACAGTACCTGTAACAAACACATTTCAACATTAAAACAAGACAGATTTGTCAGGAAATATTACATGAATCAGGGTTTGCTGGAGGTGATTCTTCAGATTATATCTCTGACACCTTAAGAAATTAAATTTACTCTTTTAGAGATATTGCCCTGTGGGAACGTTTTTTAGGTATTATACTTACCATAATGCACTTAAGATTATAAAAACAATTTCTCAAAATCAAATAAGCACAGTGCTTATGCTGTGGTATCCATATGGTTCCTTTACCAAGGCTCTAGAGACTTGTAACTATAAGGACGGAATATAAACTACTTCCTATTCAATTCAGCACAAAATCTCCAACACTTGTTAAATGTTATTGCTGCCCTCAAACCTACTAGCTGAGACTCAAAAGATGAGTTTCTATTTATATATCAAAGCAAACTGATACTTCTATATACATTTAAATTACTAGTAATTTTGCCTTTTAAAAAAAACTTTAGAAAAAATAATTCAGCTTCAGTTCTTATGGAGAGCAGGGTGTACATACCTGTGTGCTCATGTGTATATAGGTGTGCTCACACACATTTGCAGAGGTTAAAGGAGGGTCCAGATATCATCTGCAATCATTTTCCTACTTTTTTTTCTTCTGATACAAGGTTTCTCACTAAACCTAGAGCTCTCATTTCAGTCAGACTGGCTGGCTAGCAAACCTACAACCAGCCTGTCTCTATCCCCTAGCCCTCCCCTACCACCACGCTGCCACCTCTACCTCCACCCCCCACATTGTGGCTACAGGAGTGCACTGCCACGCCCATCGGCTTCGACTGTGGGTGCTGAGACTCTAAACTAGGTCCTCATGCCTGCACAGCAAGAACTTTACTGACGGAGCCATCTCTCCAGCCCTACTTCTTAAGGCATGTGTTCTGTGCTTTACAACATTAAATTCATTTACATTCTCAGGGAATCAAACCATAGCAGGCTTATCCATACCATAAAGAGATCAGAACAGCAAAGGCTACCTTTTGGCTTGTGGTTATTGAATTCAGCAGGAGCAGGTACTTTAACAGGCGTTGCTGAACTGTGAATGGTCAGCACACCGGAAGTGGCAGCAGTGGAATTGGCCTTTGGTCGTTGTCTTGGTGCAATTGAGGTTTCTGTTGGTCCAATGGTATCTGTTATTCTATAATAGAAAGATATAAGTCATTCAAAATATTGAGATTATCTCTAGTTTACTATCCATTCTATACATGGTAGTTCGAGATGAGTACATTAGTCCTTTGGAGTTCTTCTAAGTGGCCATCTCAGAATGTATGTTTAATAAAGCTCATAAAGTAAACTACAGCCAGGCACAGCTGTTTGCAGTCAGCTTCAAATGGAAGACTAGGAATACAACCCAGAGGTGAAGGGATGGCCTGAGACTGACAGAATACAAAGACAAACCTTCTCAAAAAGTTTCTGACAAAACTGAGATTCAGTTCTTTAAAAAGACACAAGAAATCATCCCCTTAGCTTGGACTTGAGGAAAGGAAAGGCTGCCTCCTACAGCAGTAAAACAGAAGACACCAGTGCTGGTCAGGTAAGGCTGCCGGCTCACACCCAACCTTTGTTTTTCTAGAACACTAAATGAGAATTAGGAGAAATGTTTGACTGGGACTCTGTGTAAGCCTCAAATGCAGACAGTAAAGTGGTGAGCACAATTTTGAAAGCAGTATGACTAGCAAACAAACAAAAACAGAAGAAAGGTAAATGTATTTTTAATATTCATATATTTGTATAATGGGTCTGGATCTAATCCATTCCCCTCACAGCTTCATGTGCTCCTTACTGACTGACTTTCGATGCGCACTCAGTCCACGTGGGGCTGCCAGGACCTGCTTAAGTGTAGGACCAATACAATCTTCAGACGACACTTTCAACTGTGCTTTCGACAGTCAGTCTAGAACCTCAGTAACTGTCTCCCACGAAATCTCTTTGATGACTTCACTTAATATTATTTCAAGTGATGTAACACCTAAATTGTATATGCATGCTTTAGCAAGCCCACAGCTCCTGCAATCACAGCACACACGTACAGCTTTTTCACAATACCTAGATGTAACACAAGAGGGAGCCATCCTAACAATTATCTTCCCAAGAGGAAGGAAACCGAAGACTGCCTCCCAAGATTTCAGAATATTAGGGCTGGTGACCTAACTGAGCTCAGTCAGTCATGAAAGGAAGACATCAACAGCATCACAGAATGGGGACTGGTTGGGAAGTAGAAGGGGGACCGTGGGGGAGAGGGGCGAAAGATGGTAGTAGAAGGCACATATGATCAAAATATATTACAAACATGCAGGAAATTATCCAAAAAAAAATTTAAGGCAATTTTTTCCCAGAAAATTGTATAAATATATTGTGCATATGCTGTCTTCTAAAAATAACAGGCAGGATGATCAGCATGGTATAGTACAAGTCCTCTATAAATGTAACAAAGATAGTAAGATCATTTATATACACAGCCAATTACAGCTCATTTTAATGATCAGGTTGTCCACAAGAGCATTATGTATTCTTAATTGCTGAATCATCTCTCCAGTCCCAGATTTTAAGTCTCAATCTAGAATTCAAACTTACCAATAGCGTAAGTAACTGAAAAATAAGGTTTCAAGTTTAATTCTTTACCAAGCTTTCTAGTTATATACACACATAAATTTTACAAAGTACATACACCAATGGCCTTTGACAATTAATGTTTCCTTTTTTTATATTTATTTATTATGTATACAGTGTTCCGCCTGCGTGTGTCCCTGCAGGCCAGAAGAGGGCACCAGATATCATTAGAGATGGCAATGAGCCACCATGTGGTTGCTGGGAATTGAACTCAGGACCTCTGGAAGAACAGCCAGTGCTCTTAACCTCCGAGCCATCTCTCCAGCCCCCAATTAATGTTTCTTTTCTTAAATATAAACAGTAGGCTTAATAGCTATTGACCCAAATCTCAAGTTTCCTGACTGAAGACCAGTCAGTGATGAAAAGGAGGACAATCACACACAGGGAAGGCCCCTACAACATCAGCAGCTAACATTCCCAGCTTCACAGATGAGGAGCATTCACAGGAGAATGGCGGCAAGCCCGGTATTTAGTCCCTTTGAAAGTTTATTTTGTGCTCACTATCTAAGCTATAATACCATAGACTGGACAATACAGCATTTTGGGTAATAGGATGTGCTACAATTAAAATGAGAACTATAGCCTTCTCTTTTAGAAAAGGCCTTCCGGCTCCAGCACAGGCCTGCCTACCTGGCTTTCATTTGGCTTTTCCTAGCAGCAGCTTCGCTAGCAGTCATCGGTTCAGGAAGAGTTGAGGGAAGAGAAGAATTCTGGGGAGAGAAAACACAGTTTTCGTTTAGTTTTTAATCTGAGTTGTAGTAATTTTTTAGACTATAGATAAACTATTAAACTTGCAAATCATTGCTTGCGATACTATCATTTTCATGTCACATATTACAGATTATTCAGATATATTCCCAAGATCTAATCCAAAAATATCACGTTACACAAATGTCACCTTTAGAGTGATATTCCATAGAAATCTTTACAAGATGAACATAGCATTACTGTATACAACATTCTTTTGGGTAAGTCTTGAGTTAAAAAAAGATTATAACACATGTGTAAATCAATGGTATTTTGTACTTGAGAAAATAATTACACAACCAGGATAACAATCATGTTGTTTCTAAATACTACAGATAACTGTTATGACACTGCAAAGTCTAGAAAATAAAACAGAAGACAGCGCATCTCTTTACGTCCATATCTGTCTCAGTCTGGGTACTGTGAGCATGAGCTGAACAGAAAGCTAAAGTTCAGTTAAACCTCAGATAAAGCTACTCCTCACTAAAGCTTTAGAACATCAATAGAAAAATATTAAAGTGATACGGTGAGGGCTTTAAAAAGAAAAAGGTACCACAGTTCTTCCTTTGTCCAAGTAGGTAAGTTATACATGAAGAAAATGTAAGTCAGAACAGAATGATCTCTACAGTGTTCAGGATGGATAAAAATCAATGATGATCTAGAACTTTCATTAAAATTAGCAGAAATCTGGCATGTACAGTTCATTGTAGCATGCAGGAAGTAAGTAGAAGTCAAAGCCTTTGAGCCAGGCATGACAGCACACACATTTAATCCCAGCACTCTGAGAGGCAGAGGCAGGCTGATATCTGAGGGTTTGAGGCCAGCCTGGTCTACACAGAGTTCTGGGATAGTCAGGGCTATGTAGAGAAAGAAATCTGTTCAGAGAGAGAGAGAGAGAAAACAAGTAGGAGGAGGAAGGAGGAAGGGAGGGATGGAGGGAGGCAGGAGAGGAAGGAAGGGAGGAAGAAAGGGAAAGATGAAGGGAGGGAGGGTGAGAGGGGAGAGAGAGAGGGAGGGAGGGAGGGACGGAGGGTGAGAGGGAAGAGACTGGGGGAGGGAGGGAGGGAAAGAAGGGAGGGGGAGAGGGAAGAGGGGGAGAGGGAGGGAAAGAAGAAGGGAGGGTGAGAGGGAAGAGAGGGGGAAGAGGGAGGGAGGGAGGGAAAGAGGAAGGGAGGGGGAGAGGGGAGAGAGGGGGAAGAGGGAAGAAGGGAGGGAAAGAGGAAGGGAGGGGGAGAGGGAAGAGGGGGAAGAGGGAGGGAGGGAGGGAAAGAAGAAGGGAGGGTGAGAGGGGAGAGAGAGAGGAAGAGGGAGGGAGGGAAAGAAGGGAGGGTGAGAGGGGAGAGAGAGAGGAAGAGGGAGGGAGGGAAAGAAGAAGGGAGGGTGAGAGGGGAGAGAGAGAGGAAGAGGGAGGGAGGGAAAGAAGAAGGGAGGGTGAGAGGGGAGAGAGAGAGGAAGAGGGAGGGAGGGAAAGAAGAAGGGAGGGTGAGAGGGGAGAGAGAGAGGAAGAGGGAGGGAGGGAAAGAAGGGGGGAGGGGAAGGAATCAAAGTCTTGGAGTGAAACCAGCCCCACAATGAGCACTGTACTTGGCCTAGCCCTGGGCTGCTGTGCTATATATTAGCTATAATCATAACTGCTATCCTAGTTTTAAAATAGGAGAAGGGGATTAGCCATCATAAAGATATAAAATCAGCCACTGATAAAAGAAATATCGCCGGGTGGTGGTGGCGCACGCCTTTAATCCCAGCACTTGGGAGGCAGAGGCAGGCGGATCTCTGTGAGTTCGAGGCCAGCCTGGACTACAGAGTGAGATCCAGGAAAGGTGCAAAGCTACACAGAGAAACCCTGTCTCGAAAAACCAAAAAAAAAAAAAAAAAGAAAGAAAAAAAGACATGAAGTCAGGTCTCTCCCTTTACAATGCCTCTACTATTAACACCAGAGGGGCCCAAGTTTTTCATTTAACACTATGCTTAGCATCTGTCTCAATAATGTCTGATCACATCTCTTGGTTAAAAAACAAAACACTTAAAATCCTGTTATCAAATACTTCGATACTTAATAATAACAGCCTATGCTCTGTGACTGACATGTCATGTTGTGTCTCTCACCACAATGCAAAACAGCCTGATGAAGCTCTCCAGAACACGTGAGTGAAGTCTAGGAAATGAAGTTTCATGCACAAACAGCATTACACACTATCAAGACCACTTGTCACAAAACAAAGAGCTCATAAAGCATGTACATATATATGTAAACACACATCATTAAAGTGAATTTGAAAGGCTTACCTACTTGAGAAACTACTTACATTGATGTTGGAAACTGGACAATCCTTTTTGGCGAATTTAAAAGCAAAGTAGGATACTTGAAATATGTCAGGTCTATGCTCCGGATCTGGTTCAAGCATGAACCCTGTAATAGAAAGTCAAAGGATTAAGATGTCTGACTGAAGACAAACACTACGGAAAGGCATATACAGGAGGGGCAATCTGCTCTAGCCCAAGATCAATGATTCTTTGGTAATGCTTAGAGGAAATGGCAGAAACTTTTTCTATAAATGAACTTAACCATGAGCCCATTACAGAGGCAGATAACAGAACATCTATCTCTGTGCTGGACGGATGGCAGGTATGATTATACCTTTGAAAAAGTGACAAAAAAAAAAAAAAAGTGAATCAGCCGGGCGGTGGTGGCGCACGCCTTTAATCCCAGCACTCGGGAGGCAGAGCCAGGCGGATCTCTGTGAGTTCGAGGCCAGCCTGGGCTACAGAGTGAGTTCCAGGAAAGGCGCAAAGCTACACAGAGAAACTCTGTCTCGAAAAACAAAAAAAGTGAACCAACAACACAAAACCAGTGAACTCAGGGAACACTTAATTATTCAGGAAAGCTCCAGGGTCACAGAGAGGAGGTGGAAGGTTCTCCTAAAACAAGTCCTTTTAAAATAATTCTCACTATTAGCTAAAATACCTTTATTTTGAAATTATCCTAATCACTGAGAAAAGGCTAAGTATGCACATTATAATTTATTTAGCAGAGCACCAGAGGATTAGCACTATACATTTCAAAAAGAAAAAATGCTTTCTTGACATACTAACAATATGGACCACAGTTCTCTGTTTCAGTATTCTTTCTCATCATCATGGCCAGAGGTCTGAGCAATTTTGGAAATGTACTACTAACATATATTTACATCAACAACTTTACAATATTCGTCAAGTCCTTGAGATAGTCTGTCTAACCAAAAGTGACCATTAACTTCCATTTATCTATTTCTTGAGTGACTTATATTTCAAATTTCCCAAGGTTGAAATTTATATTCAATTCTGTAACAAAATTGTATTAAGACATCTCCATGGCCAGTTCTACTTCATTACCCTTAAAATACTTCTAATGCTTAAATTATGTTAAACGTTTGAAATGAAAATTTACATTAGCTATTCTCATGTTTTCTAGTGAAACATGGAGTTACTGTGAACAGTGAGTGTCCACCTTCACAGCACTAACATGGAGTTACTGTGAACAGTGAGTGTCCACCTTCACAGCACTAACATGGAGTTACTGGGAAACACTGAGTGTCCACCTTCACAGCACTAACATGGAGTTACTGTGAACAGTGAGTGTCCACCTTCACAGCACTAACATGGAGTTACTGTGAACAGTGAGTGTCCACGTTCACAGCACTAACATGGAGGAGTTACTGTGAACAGTGAGTGTCCACCTTCACAGCACTAACATGGAGTTACTGTGAACAGTGAGTGTCCACCTTCACAGCACTAACATGGAGGAGTTACTGTGAACAGTGAGTGTCCACCTTCACAGCACTAACATGGAGGAGTTACTGTGAACAGTGAGTGTCCACCTTCACAGCACTAACATGGAGTTACTGTGAACAGTGAGTGTCCACCTTCACAGCACTAACATGGAGTTACTGTGAACAGTGAGTGTCCACCTTCACAGCACTAACATGGAGTTGCAGGTCAAAACGGACTCAACTCCCTTCTAAACCTAGTGCCTTGAACATAGAATGATAAACAGTGACTCCAAGGGACAAAACCTAGCTTGTATCAGGCAATTATAAGCTTGATTTTAAAAATACAAAAATTATCCGTGTAATATGATTTATATACTATAAAAGCTAAAGTTTATTCTTTATAGTTTTAGTATCATTATTAGACTAAATATCTAAAAACATTTAATTCAAATATTTATTAATTTATAGTCGACCCTTACAACAGAGAAGATCTGAGAGACTGACAAGGTAAATATATTTACTCCTAAAATAAGTTATATCATAATACCAAAAATATTAAATGTTTTAAAAGAAGCAATATATAAAATTAACAAAGTAAAATAAATTTTAACATACTTTAACAGTGTTTATTAAAATTATTTAAAGACAACCAAATTACAGGAAACCTATTAAATTCACAAAATTACCATATTTTCTACTCTAATGAGTATATTTGTCTCATGAAAATCTAATTCTAAAAGCAGCTAATAATAAATATTTATTCCTATAAAGCCTCAATTTGGCATACAGAAGGGGTTTTCAAATATATGAGAATCAGGAATAATGGAAAAGCAATTCACTGGAGATGGACAAGATAATGAAGAAACTAGATAGATCTCATTATAAAGGCCAGGTCCCAAATTCAGTTTCTGTCAACACAAAGTAACTGATCCTATGTTACAGGAATTACAGTATCTGCAATGGGTCATAAATCGGACACGCAAGTAAATCCGTTCTTCTGATACAAAAGCAGAAGAAATTCCCTTTCAATCTCTCTAGAGATGGCTTCCAAAGTGAGCAGCATCCTCAAAGAGATTGTAGTGAGTGACAATGGACCATATCTTATACAGTCCTCCAGTGGAGATGAGTGACATAATCTCTAAATGCAGTTCAGCTAAAAAAAATTCTGCAGGGTGAAGAGAACACTATGGTAAAAGAATACAGTTCTTTGGAAACCTACCTTCATCTAAGAAATACTTCTTAAATTTCTACAAAGAATGCCTTCAAGCAACCTGACATGAGCTTCCAATACTGGTGTTTCACACCAGCTGAAAAGCAGTAAGGAGGAGGAGGGAAGGAGAAGGGAGACAAAGAGAAACTCTGTATGTCCTAGCCAGCACTAGTCCAGGTGATTCTCCCTCAAGCACAGGACAGCACCCTTCAAGTACACATTATACACAGGCCCTGAGGGGAATTCTATACTACACTGCTGTGAGATGTCTTTATGTATGCTGAGAATATGTGTTGCTCTAATTGGTTGATAAATAAAATGCTGATTGGTCAGTAGTCAGGCAGGAAGTATAGGTGGGGCGAGCAGATGAGCAGAATTCTGGGAAGAGGAAGAGTGGAGCCAGGAGTCACCAGCCAGACACAGAGGAAGCAAGATGTCAAGGCAGAACTGAGAAAAGGTACCACATCACATGGCTAAACATAGATAAGAATTATGGGTTAATTTAAGTGTAAGAGCTAGTCAGTAATAAGCCTGAGCTAATGGCCGAGCAGTTATAATTAATATAAGCTTCTGAGTGATTATTTTATAAGTGGGCCACGGGACTGCTGTGGCCTGATGGGACTGGAGAAACCTTCCAACTACACTATACCATTAAGGCACCTGCATTTTGACAACTGTTCTGATGTTAGGTCTGAGATTTTCCAAACATGACATCAAACCCATGCTCAAAGTTTCAGATTTTAGAACACTCAAGGTTTTGAATTTTCAGTTTAAATAATTTCACTTCTACATGGCAGTCCTATCCAGTGAGCTCCTGTGCCCATCTCTCTGATTTGGTGGTGCTGTTTTGTGTATTTGTGAGTGGTGCAGGCAATGTGTCAGGCATATGTGTGTGTCCAGGGACCATTCTGTGGAGGAGGATGTCTCCTCCACACTCACATGTATTCCATGTTGTGAGGCATGTGCAGCAAGTACCTATCTGCACGGAGCCCTCTCACTAGCCCCCTGGTTTAATTTTAAACTCCAAATAATACGAAATGACTGATAATCATTACTAAAATCTATAGGCAGAAAAGAGCTGTATATTTTTAATCTCTGAATGTTTTTAATTGAAAATTACTAGCCACTAAAATGATTAAAAATTCAATATGAAATCATTAAAAATTTAATTGAATAATATAGAGTCTTGAAGTCTTTAAGACACAGAGCTGTAAGATGTACTTCCTAGGTTACTGCATGATATAATCTAAGGTGCAGAGTTATCAGCTTTAATCCAATTCAGTTCTGGGACTTAGCTACTACAAATGACAACTTCGGTTTCCAAATAGCTTTTGTCTAAAAGGTTTTCTCTCACAATAACTAACCACCAAGTCTACTGTTTTCTTAACTCCTATTCCATAACACTGAACCACATACTCTGTAAAATATATGCTTTCTAAGGAAGGAATAGATTAAGAAACACAAGTGATATTATGCTGAAATACAAAGGCAAGAGAAGGCATAAATCACTCTACTTTCTCAAGTTAAAACAATTACGTGGGTCATCACAATTACCACTGGCTCCAATTTTACATCAAACAAAATCATTTTTTTTCAGAAGTCAGTCTTAGAAAAATGGTATTTCTCCAGTCATCTTTGTGTGATTCCTTCTATTGACAAAAGTACAACACAACCTGAGAATACAAGGTCTCAGCACTTAAGAGTCCCTGATTAGACCATTAATACTTCCTACTGATTCTCACACATCTCATCACAAAGCACTCATTAAGCAACTGCATTTTATCTATCTAATCTTAAATCAAATTTACTAACTGAATATGAATACACTCAACCATAACTAAGACAGTAAATGGCACTGTAAACATGACAGGAAACTGTATGTGTGATAGTCTTGACAAGTGCCCCAAGAAGGTAATGACAGGGGCCTCTCTCTACCTGCCAGATGACAGTCCAGCCCGTGTCAGTGTCTTCAAGGAAAGGCTATCTTAAGCTTAGCTTATTCTCGAATACACACTAAAGTTTCTGAAGGACTTCTTCCCCAGAAGAAGTCTGTAAGAGAATGAGAGCACAGCTAAAACAAGACTAGCCGTGAGCTAAGGGCCACTGAAGCTTAGAGGCGGGTAGATAAAAACATACTACTCTGTTTGTGCACAGTCTTTAATTCCCATAACACACTTAAGAGAATTAATAAGATAACTCTTGGCTTTCCACAAAATAGGAGCAAAAAGAAATTTAATTAGAACAAATGAGCTAAGTGGCAGAGCCAGAAAGCAGCAATAAATGAACCACAAGCAAGAGAAGCAAAGCTTCGCTCTCCACCACAGTAAACAAGGTGGACAGGGAGCCTCACTAGCTAGACCAGTGTATTCTGGAATGTGGGACATGTGTGGGACACCTTCAGGAGACTCACCATAACTTACAGGTTGTGCTTTCTGAGAGCACAGTACCTCCCATGAGTATCTGAGGAAAATAGTCTGCTCTGGCCAGGCCTTATCCGGCTATCAGAAATGGTTTGCTCAGGAACAAGTGGGACTTGAAGTCACGGTTGTAGTCACAGGCACCAGCAGCAGGAAAGGGAAAGAAATCACACACACTAACAAGCACTTCTCATACCTTACTTGAGTCTCACAATAACTCAAGAGGCAGATACGTCTCAATGTACTTTTTTTGAGAATTTCATACATGAGTACTGTATTTTTACATCATTTCCACCCAAGCCTCTCCCTACTCCAACTCCTCCAGTGGCCCCCAACTCCCTCTCACATTCATATCTTCTTCAATTATTGTTACGTGTGTGTGTGTGTGTGTGTGTGTGTGTGTGTGTGTGTGTTTATGTATGTATAAACCTGCTGAGTCAATCTAGCGTTTTGCATATGTTCTGTAAATATGCTCATTTCAGAATCACAGATGCTGAGATACGTGGATGGAGGTGCCCAAGGTTCTAGACCAAATCAGCAGCAGCAGCAGCAGCAGGTGTAGCTGAGTCTGCTGTTCACCACAGGCTTCGTCAATCCACTTTAGGAGAGAGCAGCTGGGGGGAAGAGAAGTAAGCAGCCCTGTCCATCTCCAAAACTGCTCCGCATGACTTCGTTTTCAAATTCTTTATTGTCTACCATCTTTTCAACTCTTAGATGCAAAAAAGAAAGAGCTCCTTCCTCACCTCACAGCATCATGTGTTTCACAGGAATCAAATGACAACTCTGTTGCTTTTAAGAAAATTCTACAGAAAAGAAAGATAAAACTAATAAAAAGCAGCTTTACCAGCAATACAGTCACAATCCCTTCTTCCCGATTATTTCCTGATAACCAAGAGCACATTCAAATACACAAATAACCACAAAAACCAAACAACTTTAGCAAACACTATTCATGGATATCACATTTTCAAACATTCTGAGTGACAACAAAGCCATTAGTACTACAATTAATTGTGTAAAAGTGTATTGTTGAATAAATAGAATTTAGCACTAAAAAGTTTGCAATTCAAGAACCATGAGCACAGCTAAGCAATGCTCCTGGTTCCGAATGCAGGACTTAGTTTAAAGCAATGTAACACACTAAATAAATTTTATAAACACAGAGGTAACTAAATGTGATGGTGAAAAGCAGGCAAGGTTACATGTGAAAGATATAGACAACAGAATTCAGAGAATTCATATTGGTTTTTAGCATTACATTATAAATAAGTATGTTCTGGGTTTGGGGTTTGTTTTTGTTGTTTTTTTTTTTTTTTTTTTTAATCTGTACCTCATTTCTGTTGCTAGAGTTTTCCTGCCTGGCCCACAGTCAGGACAAATCTCTCTCACCTGCCAGTCCCACAGCCCCTCAGACCCCACCAAGTAAACACAGAGACTTACATTGGTTACAAACTGTATGGCCGTGGCAGACTTCTTGCTAACTGTTCTTAAAGCTTAAATTAATCCATTTCCATAAATCTATACCTTGCCACGTGGCTCGTGGCTTACCGGCATCTTCACATGCTGTTTGTCATCGTGGCGGCTGGCAGTGTCTCTCTGACTCAGCCTTCCACTTCCCAGCTTTATTCTCCTCCTTGTCCCGCCTACACTTCCTGCCTAGCCAATGGCCAATCAGTGTTTTATTTATTGACTAATCAGCAACACATTTGCCATACAGAACATCCCACAGCACATTTCAGCATTTTAAAAGTAAAGTCTATAAAACTTTTAACCAGGAGGGACTCTATTGGGATTTAAAACTATTTGTATGTGTGTCTGTGTGTGTGTGATTGTGTGTGTGCACACGCATGTGTGTGCATGTGAGCATGCACACATGAAGGTCAGGGGACAACTTTCAGAAGTCAGTTCTCTCCTTCCATGGTGGCTTCTACAAAAGGAACTCTGGTAGTATTGAACTCGTTCATCAAATATTTTCACCCCTGAGTCATCTCACTGGCCCCTGTTTTTAAAACTTACAGGGGTTTTATAATACCAAATTTACTTGAATGTCTTTAGTTTATTCTGTATATTTAGTTTATTTCATTTTTGGCATAGTCAAATTGATACCAGGAACTAAAATCTTCACATTTATGGTCAAGTAGAAGAAGCATATGCTACACAGTAAACTGCCAATTAACTAAACTCCAGTTGAGCCTGAAATTATCAACAGTATTATCATGCTTACCACAGCACCAAACAAACACATTCCCACACATAGTGGGGCACACATAAACACAGAGAAAGTCAATACCAGTTAGGAACCAAATCACACATCAAGGCATAAGCTTCTCAGTCTTTCACAGAGTATTAGTAACTCTGAGCCTGTAAGACATTCAAGATCACCAGTAAAACTATACATTCAATTATTACTAAAACATTAGACTTAACAACAAAACAGTTACAGCTACAATGATGTGTAAAAATGTCTTCAATAAAATATTAAAACTCAATTAGCCAGAGAACACAGCAACCAAATTCCACACTCTAATTTTGGGCATTACAAATTAATAGGGATTATTTCATACTTCTGTTGTTCTAAATTTTTAAGAACATTATATAAAGTAGAGAGGGTTAAGAGTTTAATATTTATTCAAATATACAATGGAGGTATATTTTCTTGTTCTAAAAAAACTGCCGTTCTACAAAATAGTACACTAAAATAGAACTTCTACTTTAAAAAGCCGGAATAATTCCGTTAGAGGGCTGACAAGCTATTCACAGGGACCTAGATGGAAACCTGGTCTGCAGCTCCAGCTTGACTGGAGTCTGCCTGCTACAGGTCAGAAGGCTGGAGCAAACAACGCTGCCAGGCATTAACCATGGAGGTTAAAGTTGAGGTCTGGTGCCACTGCACAGGTGCTGGTACATATGATGAGCTACACAGAAGAGAGGTCGGGATCTCTCCAAATGAAACCCTAAGGACAAGTTTAGGGAGCAAGTGGAGTCCTGAAGAAGTATGTATCATGTACTTCCATGAATGCTAATGTCCTACATCCAGGAGTTCAGCTATAAGTATTAAATTTACCATGTCAAGGACCCCTGTGCCTCAACCCCACTGGCAAAGCTGTCCCCAGATGAAGCTCAGAGGGATGGCAAAGCCTTCCTCCAGGGAGAGTCTGAATGCCGATGGGGTGTCCAGACTCATCATTTCCAGACTAATGTTTACAGAACGAAGACTGCTCCTACTGAGATTAGATAAACCTGTCCCTTTGTTCAGCTGTATACAAAAAGGTGCTGAAGCTTCTCCATCAGAGTCCAGACCACTGACCCTGGCTTTTCTCTATGTTTGTCTGTCTTCTTCATTTCTTCCTTACCCTGACTCACGGTTCCGGGACCCAAGTCATGAAGGACCCAGCACACATATCTAACGCTCTCATAACGAAGTGTGCACTGGCAGTGCAGCAGCCACGCTTCGGCTGCGTCCTCTCCCACTCCATCATTCTGGTTCCCCTCACCTAGGAAAAGCATTCTATATAATGCCAAGTGCTTCATCTGTGAGGAAATCTGTGTTACAGAAATTCTGTGCTTTCAGAGTCGTTTATGTCCCTTTTTCTCTTGGCATCATGACCAAATACTGCACTGTGTAGCCCTTCTCCTTGATTTACACAAGGCCCATACAGTAGGAAGTCAACTACTTCTCAAACAACAAGTATTATTTGCAATTTATCATTTACGCAAGTGTTGCTGAATTGGGGGATTTGGTAGGAGCAGTTGTTGACGGAACCTACTAGGCAAACATTCTACCACTAAGCAATATGTACCCAGCCCTTGGCCCCTTGGCTTTTCTGAGTCTTTCCTATTGCAGTTGAGAGTGCCCTAGACCTGGGCGTTCTCCTATATCTGCCTCCCAATGCTAGAATTACAGGTATACCATATGGGCAGAAGTAAAGTTGTATGTCACTAGGTTGTTATATCTTATAGCTTCCTGAATTAATGACCTATGTTTTCTACATTCTATATGTATGATTCAATTCATACCTATTTTCTTTCAGTGTATATTTTACTTTTTACATTTAAATACTTTATTTATGTAAAGCTTTAACAGAAAAAAAATGAAGACTTTGCTCTATATTTGTTCACAAATAAGAAAATTATCTGTTTCCATTTATTTTCTTCATTAAGTTTAAATACTATCTTTATTATATGAATAGCAAATAAATTTAAATGGACGCTCTGTTCTGTGCCTCAGAGGCTATAAGAGAGTTGTTCAAAATGCAGGAAACAGCAGAAATGCTAAAGGCACTTTAGTCAGAGCTGTTTCAATACTGCAGCCCCCAGGTCACATTCTACTGTCTGATGACTGCCTCCCTCCCCGCAGAGACTCTTTCTCAAGTTTTACAATAGACATGTACAAAATGTTAAATTACAATATCTTTTTTAAAGCAAGCATGGAAGGAAATCTAGTTGTTTATTAACCACATGGATTATTTGGTTTCAAAGACACAAAAATTAAAGAATTAAATGTTGTTATAAGTGTCCCTAGTAACTCTGATTGTCTTAATTATGTAATTGCTGCCATGTGCTATTAACTCTTATCTAGGAGATTACAAATATTCTTGTATTTATTGGTAAGTAGATTGCTTTGACCTCTAGAGATGAATAACCATCTTTAAATAATTTTACGGTATTTATAAAATTACATGAAATTAAAAGTCTAGATTTAAGAAAGAGAATAAATAGCAGGCCCTAAATTGCAGTATCTTATAAGCATTTAATCCATCTTTCCAAATACTTACTTATCAAACAATGTATGTTATGGGAGTAGCGAGAACTGTCTGGGATGGTGAAGCTGCCGTCACAGATAGCAACCTGACTCTCACCGAAAGGAAGAGTGAAGAAACAAAGTTTGTACAGTAAACACCCCAGGGCCTGTGAAACAAAGAAACAGGAACATCATCAGGACTCAACACTCAGCCACTGAACATAACTAGAGTCAAGACCAGAGCTGGGAACGCAGCTAAGTGGTAGAGCACTGCTTAACCTACGCAAGGCCCTAAGCACAATCCTCAGCACCATGAACAAGAACACCAAAAGTGAAACATGTTACTTCAAACAAACAAACTGAGTGCTATTTTGAATCCAATTATTCCTTAACCAAGTTAAGATGTTTTTTAAAGGCCTTTAGCTTTATAGTTCGGTGTTCCTCTGCTGCATCTGTAATCGTTTAGATAAGCTGCTCTGGATCACGAGGAACTAAAATTAACCCTGGCTTGTCACTTTTGGAGGAAATAGCATCTACTTGGTACTGTCCTCATTGGCATTACCAACCAGGCACAAGTCACATCTGAGAAGAGGTCTCTATCAGAATGCTCACAGACAAGTCTATGGAGGTGTTTTCTTAATAATGATTGATGGAGGAAGGCCCAGCCCACTGTGGGTAGTGACCACCTCTGGGCTGGTGGTCCTGGGTGACATAAGAAAGCAGGCTGGGCAAGCCTTGGGAAGCAAGCCAGTAAGTAGTATTCCTCCGTGGTCTCTGCTTCAGTTCCTGCCTCTAGGTTCCTGCCCTCGCTTCCCTTAGTGATGAAGTTCAAAGCTGTAAGATAAAATAAACCCTTTCTTCCACAAGTTGCTTTTGGTCATGGTGTCTAGCACAGCAACAGTAACCCTGACTAAGGCAGGTCATATTATCAACTTACAAAGGAAACATATGGCCGTTTTTAACAAATTTTCTTACAATTCACTAAAAAACACATTTTAAGTCCTATGAGGCTGTCCATCAAAGTTAAGACAACTAACAATAAATTTTACTGGTCATTATTTCATAAGATAAAAATTAATTCACTTGATCAGCAAGGTGGGTCAGTGGTAAAGGTCCGTGCCGACAACCCTTGATAACCTGAGTTTATGCCCAGGACTCACATGGTAGAAGGAGAAGATTGTTCTCAAATTGCTCTCTGACCTCCACACATACACACAGGCAAAGGATAGGTTACATGCAATAGAACATTAACTCTCTGGGCCTGGAGAAACAGCTCAGCAATTAGCACATGCTGCTCTTGCAGGGGACCTGAGTTCAGTTCCCAGCTCCATGTCAGGAGCTCACGCACCCGTAACTCCAGCTCCAGGGATCTGACACCTCTTCTGGCGTCCACAGGCATCAGCACACACAACAAACACAAATACACATAAATAAAAACATTTTTAATTAATTCTGTTTCCATATATAATCCTACAGTTTTTTACGGTATAATGTACTAATTTGTAGCATCAAAAAAAGAAAGGTTCTGTCTGCTTAACGTGCATGACTTTATACACTTCACAGCACCAATAAATCACCTTACTGACATGAAGGGAAACATTCTAAAGGACAAGTTTTTTTCTAGAAAGGTAGCATAGGAAGTTTCCAGCTATACCATCACAGTTCAAACCTGAAACAATTTTTAAAAAAAGAAATGATTTTGGGTTCACAAAATTATCACTTTGTCAAAAAATAATACCTCAAGCCACAAGGGTAAGGGGCATTTCCAATTCTAAATAAATTATCTAACAGCTGCAATGGCATTAATGAAACTAATCAGTGAGTAAGCTTTCTGCTGTTATATTTTTCCCATGTAACTACTTTACCATCCATGACTAACAAGTATTTTTAGTGTCTATGAAGACTATACTATACAGAAATAAAACGTACAGAAACCTTTGTGAGTGCAATAATATTAATTTTTAAAGGAATATTTGCATTTATAACATTCTTATAGTGAAGAAATTTCAAAGGTCTAGAAATTTCAATACTTACTTAGAAATCTATAGGTTACTGTATGACTTCTGAAATGGTAAAGACACTAACTAGACATACCCAAACAATATGGTTAAAAAAATAATGATGGCCGGGCTGTGGTGGCGCACACCTTTAATCCCAGTACTCAGGAGGCAGAGGCAGGCGGATCTCTGAGTTCCAGGACAGCCAGGGATACACAGAGAAACCAAGTTTGGAAAAAGGGAAAATAAAAAGATAATGGTGGCTGTTTTTCTGTGAAGAAAATAAACAACAAACTGAACACAAGCTTCCATAGAACTACTGTAAAAACACTACTAAAGCTGTAAATTTGCCTTCAGTTACAGCCTTCCACCACCCAGACAACCTTCACACCAAATGTGACCTGCATTTCAGCCAGTTTTACCTTGTCAATCAAATCTAGGTCATTTTTCTTGGTTTAAATTAATTATGAGAGTCCCCTCACATTTGGCAATGCCAGCACACTTTAAAAGGTAACCATGGGGTCTGAGGACATAGTTCAGAAGTGCTTCCTAGTACATAATACCATGCTACCCCCCCCCCAAAAAGCAGTGGTAGAAAAAACAAGTGAAATACTTTGCATTGTACAAACACAGCAAGTTGCCCTGTTCTGCACTACAAGCATTTTCGTCTGTAGTCACTTGATACAATGAGAATTATGTAAGAAACAAGAGGGACTAATTAGGCTGATTTAAGGGCCATCATCCATCGTGTTCTTTTCTTCACTAAAAAGGTAATACAGGATTCCTATCAAGCACGCTAGATGTCAGGATAAAAATAACCTACAAGGGAAACGTTCAAGGAAAAAAAAGGTTTTTGCCAAAATATACAATGTTATATAACTACTTTCACCTGAACAATGTAATTCTTCTAATTTATTTTCTTGAAACAGAACTAGCAAACACAATTCTTGACCAAACTGGATGGACACACCAAAAATGTAGTGTTTTTCTGTTCCATCTGTGCTAAGACAAGCATAAGACAATCGTCATGGACATGGAAACTGTTCCTCTTCCAAGCATGTAAACAGATATCATGTTGATTTTTTTTTAATCTTTGAGTACCTATTTGCACATATACTAAATCTTATTTTAAAAGTGACAAATGAGAAGATCCCATCCTTTGCATTAAGATACTAAATAACAATTGTGTTTTAAGAAAAAAATAATCAACTCCCACTGGTTTCAAAGCAGTAGTGAAGTTGCTTTCTGGGGCTTCTGTGTTGCTGAACTATCTCAGATAATATGGAACTTAACAGCAATCATAAAATTAGGCCAGAAAAGATCTTTACAATCACTTCTTGTAATAATTTCACTTTATTAAGATCCAACTCACATTGCTTTCTACATTACACATAATCTTCAACTTTACTATAAGTTATCAAACCAATCCGATGCTAACGCCAAGGAGAGGAAATTGTAGTCGAAAGTTTTCTCTGGTCCTGCCCAGCCCCATGGTCCTGCAGCCACTTATAAAATAATCACTCAGAGGCTTAATATTATTTACAAACTGTATGGCCTATGGCAGGCCTCTTGCTAGCTAGCTCTTATATCTTAAATTAACCCATTTCTATTAATATATGTTTTGGCACGTGTTCCATGGCTTACCAATCTCCTGGCATGTTGTTCCTTGGGCAGCAGTCTGGCATCTCTCTCGACTCTGCCTTTCTCTTTCCTGTCTCTCTCCTTTGATTTCCCGCCTGCCTCTAAGCTGCCTTGCCATAGGCCAAAGTAACTTATTTATTAACCAATGGGAACAACACATATTCACAGTGTACAGAAAGACATCCCCCAGCAACTGTCACAAAGTCAAATAAATTGAAAAGAACTTGCTTCCAATTTGCTTTAATCTTACATAGTTTAAAATTCAACTACCTTAAGAATCACTGACAAAATAAATAAAGAAGCAGATGAGAACATCCTAGAAATCTGATTGCCTTGCAAGACTATCTGTCTCTTGGGTTTTTCGTGGCCTCCCAACCTCAGAAGGGATCAGGGTAGGGGAACCAGCAAGGAGACAGTAGCTGGTCTGCACACATTATACATGGGGTGCTGAGAGGTGACTCAGGCAGGGAGGCCCTCACTGTTAAGCCTAGAGGCCTAAGCGTGATCCCTGGGACCCACATGCTATAAGGAGAAGATTAACTTCTAAAAGTTGTCCACACACATGCTGTGACATGTAGCCTTATACCAAAAAAAAAGGGTAATTTTTTAATTAAAAAAATGAAAACTATGTCACTTCTTTTGTAAGTTCTAGAATTATTTCAGAAAATTGTATTCCACTATTGATAATATGTTCATGCAAACGCAGCTAACAGTTATTGTTTAATGCATTCAGATTACACAATAGTTTCTTAGACTATTAAATACAATCCAAAATGTATTTTACTTACAAAAACAAGTTTGAAAAAGATGTGAGATTCTAAACAACAAACAATAAATTAACACTATTGGTACAATTAAATCCAGATAAAAATATACTAAATTATAAGGACCTTCAATAAAGAGTAGCTAATGACATGTTTAGAATCAGAAAAAGTTTACTTTTGTTAGTTTCCATTAAAAAAAAAATCAAAAAAGATCCCAGAAAGTTATACTATAATTGCTTAAGTTACATCCAGATTTTCTACATTGTCATCAGCCAAAATTTCACCCATTCAAAACTGAAAAATGTGAACATTAACTCATGATCTAATTCCTAAAAACTACTGGTAGGTAGTTACATAACATACAAGTATCCCCTTGCTTGACTATAGGCATCCCATCTCCTAACTTCCACATCCTACCATTGTCTCCTTTCCCTGGGGAGGCAAGAGGAAAGGAGGCAGCTCTACTCAGGCTCATCTAGTTAGAGCAACGGTCAGCCTCTGAGCCTTACCCAGATATCAGCCTTGGTGGTGATGGGTTTCCCGCCGTAAAGGTTGATCATTTCTGGGGCTCTATATGACAGAGTCGTGTATCTGGCAGCATGAGGAGAACAAAGGAGACACATTCAGAAACAAAGGGACAGGTGAGACAGGCTTCTTTAAAAGACGCAACATCAAAGGCTTTTGGGTTCAGAACTATATAGAAATAATACTGTCTTTAAAGGCTTGTTAAAAGTCTATCAAGAATTAAATGAAACGAAGTATCTACAGACAATTTATTCAGCAATTACAAAAGTATCTCAAATAATATAAAAGTTGAATTTTCTTTATTAATAAAAACTTAAGCCGGGCGGTGGTGGCGCACGCCTTTAATCCCAGCACTCGGGAGGCAGAGGCAGGCGGATCTCTGTGAGTTCGAGGCCAGCCTGGTCTCAAAAGCGAGTACCAGGAAAGGCGCAAAGCTACACAGAGAAACCCTGTCTCGAAAAAACCAAAAAAAAAAAAAAAAAAAAAAACCTTAAATGACAACCTATATGGGAATATTTCTGTTGATTTATATGAAATAATTCAGTCTATCACAGTCTCCTTATCAAATGTTTTCATCTATTGAAAGTAAAACTGCACTCTCAAAATTTTAATTTATCTCTTTTCTAAGGAGTTTGTTTTATAAATGTTAGTATACCCAGCTGCACACAGTAGTAAATGTTTTGAGCTTTTATAATTCTCTTCAAAGTTACAAGTTATTACAACTCAATTATACACATTATGTATGCTTCTAACATGACTACCAACTTAGGCTCTTTGGAATTAAAGACAACGTAAATAAATATTCACTAACAAAAAAAACCCCAAATCTATTAGAAACAGGAATTATTAATCAAGTAGTGCTAAAATCTCATAGCAGAAATCTTAAGAATATAAATGAACCACCTCTATCACAACTTTTTTAGTGTTTATACTTTATTTTAAAGAAGAATATTAAGTCACAGCATTCTAAGACCTTACTATTACACTTGCTGGTCAGATGGTCCGAATGATCCTACCACAGACGAACCGGAACATACACTGCATAACAGCAGGACTTCTATCATTGTGTCCCAGCACCAAAAGCAGGGCTAGCCCTGAATAAATACTTGTTAACTCAACACTTAGAACATCAACTCTTCAATTCAGCCACAAAGGATATGAACTCTTAATGAGCTTACAGCACCATATTCCAATCATCATAAAAATGTAACTGAGCCTTAACTATATCCCACAATACAACAAATGAAGAAGTGTCGAGCAGATTGGATACTTGAGACCTCAAACAGCCACTAGAAATCTTCATCTGCAAGATGCTCTAATTACATGGATGGACACAGACCCCAAAAAGCCAACTGCAATGCCTCTACTCTGTTCTCCAGGGCATGTATGTTTACTAGGGGCTTGTTCTTACAGACGCTAGTGCAGTCGATCTAGGCTGTGTTCTGAGTAGAAGCACGAAGTACACGGGATATACACTGCTTCAGTCTATATGACTGCACTCTACAACAGGTCATCACCAGCCCCTGCTGAACAGCTCCTCGCCCTCACACTGGGAGACTACTGAGAAGTCCCTAGCCTGACATCTCGCTGTTCTGTCATTTCAGTGCTCTAAGACAGTCTGTTGCATTTTCTGAAACTAAAAAGCAGAAAAGTTAGGTTCTCACAAGAAGCCTGCAACCACAAAAAACACAGAATTAAGAAACAAAAACATGCCAGGCAGTGGTGGCACACGCCTTTAATCCCAGCACTGGGAGGCAGAGCCAGGCGGATCTCTGTGAGTTCAAGGCCAGGACAGGCACCAAAACTACACTGAGAAACCCTGTCTCAAAAACAAAAACAAAAAACAAATTAAAACAAAAAACAAACAAACAAACAAAAAAAACCTGTGTGACATTATGCGAGAAAGCTTTGCAACGTACCACTGAAGTAATAGCGGCTTCATCCAGTCTCGGCACTTACACTTTTCACACAATTTTCAGTACATATGATACACACTGTTAACAACAACTAACGTGTTTTGAGCTATTTACTTTTGCAAATGCACCACTGCCCTATATTAGTAAAGACAAAGACTACGCTGAACTCACAATCACTTAAGGAACTGGAGAGGTGACTCAGTGGTTAAAAACTCTTGCTCTCAAAAAGACCAGGGTTCAGTTCCCAGCACAACTATCCAGAGGATCCAATGCCCTCTTCTGACCTCCACAGGCACTACACACACATATAGTACACAGATATATACACAGGTAAAACATTCACACTCATATAAAAATCAATCTTTTTATTTAAATCGCTTAAAATTCTCTTGGTGGGTCTATTAAGTACTATAGCTTATTTTACAAGTTTCATTATTAAGCTGTTTACCACATAGACAAAAACTTTCATTCATGGTATTCATCAACTGTCTATTAGATATTAGTCATTTTCATTTTGAAGGAATCTACAAATGGAATAATGTAAAATTTCTATTAATGCAGCTAGCTATAGACTCAAGTTAATCAAAATGCCTATGATGCAAAATGCAATAAAGATAAGCACTTACTTTTTAATTTCTTCCTCTACTACATTAACTCCATCTTTTTGAGGATTGAGAAATTTATTAGTGGCGCTGCCAAAGTCACAAAGCACATAATTTCCAGCATCATTTAGCAAAATATTTTCTACCTTAAGAAAAGAAAATCAATGATTACTATTTTCAAAGTGAAAACTTTTTTTAACCTCTTTTGATCAGGTGCTTGGTACACATATATACACACATACACATACGTATATACAGACATAAGACACCTCAAACCAGAGACAAATGAACCAGAGCAGGCAGTGGCACATTCCTGCTGAGGCAAGAGGCCAGAAGGGTTAATAAAAATGGCCAACCCTAATCTCCTGAATTCTCTCTATGAAGGAGAACTAGTGATGGTCAAGAGTCTCCTTGAGTGTATCTACATTTTTTCTACATTCCTAAGACTTCAGCCTATCTGGAAACAAGGAGTAAGGAAAACATTTCAATTCCATTTCTCATTAACTATCTATAGGTTGCGTATTCACATACAAAATGCTTGATACCAAAGGTGTCACTGGTTTGGGATTACTTTTCATATCGGGGGCAAGATTCAAGAATAAGATGAAAATTCATTCACATTATACATTAAGTCTGACAATTTTATACAATATTCTAACTGAAATCTGAAGCATGTGATCAGATACAGAATTCCACACTCAGGGCACCACCACATCTAGCCTCTATAAATGTGGATTTTCTGATTCAAGATGCTTAGCCTACAGCACCATTTTTACTTAAAACACCTACGGTGAAAATACAAATTTAAATTTATACTTTAACTTGTAATCTGAGTTAAAATAACTAAAACAAACTGTGACTACTCCAATATCTTGAATACTCTAATGTCAGTTCCGAGAAAGCTCCATCTGCTGCTTACTAGTGCTTATATCATTGGACAGTTTGCTTAACCACTCCCCTCTCTGGTTATCTTATCCAGAAAACAGGGGAAATAATTGTTACTATGACAGGTTAGAATACTCAAAGTACTCAGAACATGGTCTGGGATATACTGAAGACCAAAGAAATTGTTATTATTATGGCAATGTCTTTTGCTTTTATATTTATTTTCATTTACTTAAATGCTAATAAAGTTTATTTTAGGCTTTCATGATTATCAACAACCTACATTCTAAATGACATTGCTTATTTTGTTTATCATAAGATACTAAATTGTATTTAATCAGTCAAAACAGCCATTCACTTATTTATTAACTAAACAATCAGTGAGCCTCTGCTATAGGCCACGCACTGTTCTAAGAGCTTGGATATAATCACATACACAAGCCAATACCAACGGCCTCATAACCCTTATATCCTAGTGGGAAGAGCAGACAATAACATTGGGCAGAATACACATGAAATTATACAGGATCTTGGAGAGGGGACAGGAGCAGGGAGAGAAAGAAAAAAACATTTTAAATCCTAAGTGTAAAACAAAAGTGTTCCACGGTTCTTACCTTCAGATCCCGGTGGATTATGGGAGTCTTACATTGATGCAATCTTGCCACGGCTTCACAGGTGTCGCAGAAGATCTGTAAGACTTCTGATTCAGTAAAGCCCGTCTGCAGCTTCTTATTCATCTGATTCACTACCTGCCCAGCTAAGCAAAGAAGTGACTCTGAGGACACTTTCCAATAAAGTCCACCAGAAAGACATACACGGAAACACTCTTCCAGTGCTAGCCCTGAACTCTCACGAGGGTACTTACACCTACTGCACTAATACAGTAACACGCTTTCTTACATTGACATCTCGGAGATCAGAACACTGTAAAAACACAGTATCCTGCTAATACTATTTGCCATTTTTTTAACACTTCACCACTTCTGAAACTGCAGTTTTCCTTATGATTAACAAAGTATTTACTTGAAGCAATAGTCATTCAACAATGTTTAGTATTGGATAAAGTGTGATAAACAAAAATAAGGTTTCTATTATCATAGAATATAGTGTTTCAAGGTAAAAATAATGACACAGATATGTGACTATAATTCCTAACATGACAAAGTAAGGAGAGAACTCACATAGGAAACTGGAATTTAGATTGGGGGAAGGATGGGAAGAAAGGAGAGCAGATCTACTTAGGCTTATCTAAGTGAGATTCACGTTGAGACGGACGACTACAAATTAACAAGACAAAGATTTAGGAGAGCGTGTGGGTCATAATGAGTGTTGGATATAAACATCTCCTGTTAGGTAGGAATTTGTTGACAACAAGAAACTTGTGAAGAGCTGGTGCTGATATGGCTGGCGAAGCACAGAAGATAAGATGTAACTGATGCAGATCAGACACTGGCAGCCACATTGAATACTTTTTTCTTGAAAGCCAAAGAGAACTGTCTATCTGACTTTGTAAAATATCACCTTGATTACAAGATAAGGGGATCTAATGAGTTAAGCCACTAATGCTTTATTCCTGGTAATAAATAGGACTGGGAGAAAAATAATCAATAATCTTGTCCAGCCGTGGACTATGCATGCCACTGACCTGCCAGATAAGACTGGCTGCCTGGGGCACCAGTGGCATTACTGTCAAAGGGTAACAAACGGCTTTCTGACTGGAGCTGAGGCCTGCTCCACAGGAGGGAACTATGCCAATGCCGGGCTGCACTCAAGTTCATGATCCTCCTCACCTCGGCCTCTTCAGCACATCCTAGCAGCATGAGCTGACATCAACCCTGTTCCTGATCCCATAACCCTAGTCAAAGCTCATGGCTGGGGAGATCACAGACACAGGTGGAGAGGCTTTGTTGCTATGTGGACACGTTGTCCAGCTGCCTTCTACACACTTCTGTTCATACCCAGAGACAATGCTCTTCTCAGCTTTGGTCAGAGAAGCTTCTTTTTCTTTCAATGGCAGTAGTTAATGCAGAGACTCCTAACTATCAAAGCTTTCAGAACATATGCCTGTTAAGTGCTCAGTCCCAAATATCTCCCAACCCCACCCCTCTTACACACACACACACACACACACACACACACACACACACACACACACACACACACACACACACACACCTCTGCCTCCAAGCCTAAGGAGCATCATGAAAAAGACAGAGGCATTTAGAGCTGGAGGCTGGGGAATAGTGCCATGAAACACTGTCTTCTAGGCCTAGCCTGGCCACTGCTCTCATGAGCTCACAGCAGCTGTGGTCACCTGCACATGACCAGGCCAGTCAACATTCACAAGGGCCCCAGCCCTCCCCAGGGAGCTATCGGCAGGTGATGATTGCTGGGGGTGAGTGAGTCATGTTCTTCAGTGGTAGCCAACGGTCGGCTACCCATGCTAGAGCAAATAATCCCCAACCCAATCATCCCTGATTAACAAGTGGGCTGTGTGTGTGTGTGTGTGTGTGTGTGTGTGTGTGTGTGTGTGTGTTCACATCCCAGTGAGAAGGGGCTTCACTGGAAAGGGGAGAGAGCTTAGGTGCCTCTGCAGGCCTGTTCCTTTTGTCTCCATAAGAAAATCTACCCCAGGAGAGCCTACTAGAGCCAACAAGAGCATGAAAGAGAGGAAGTAAAACTATTCTAACTAGTCACAACTATCAAACAGTCATGTGAACAAGCACTGACAAATCAGCAGGGCCACCCTGCCAGGCTCGGCCCACAGCAGCTGACGGGCAGATCCACAAGCAATAATAAGCAACTGCTACCGAATTTCAAGAGTTTTATTATTAATCAAAAGCTAGTAGAGATACAACTTACAGGAATTAGTACAAAACAGCTTCCAAAACTAACTCAGAAAGTCACATTGCCATAATTGTTCATAAGTTATTCATAAAACAATAGGAATATATTCAAAATAACCATACAGATGTCCAGAATTCTAATTCCAAAAATATAGTATCTCTTTAAGTCAGTGGTTCTCAACCTTCCTAACGCTACAACCCTTTAATACAGTTCCTCATGTTGTGGTGACCCCAACCATAAAATGATTTCCATTGCTACTGTTATGAATCATAATGTAAATACCTGCTATGTAGGATATCTAATATCTAATACCCTTGTGAAAGAGTCGTCTGACACCCAAGGGGGTCACGACCCACAAGTTGAGAACCATCCTTTTAAGCACTGTATCAGATAACTAGCAAGTTAGGTAGGAGTGAAAGGTGACTGTAGTGCACAGCAATGGCAGTGAGCTCTGAGAACCTGGAAGCATGGAGCAAGGAACGCACGGGTTCCGGAGCACGTTCTTCTCTACACTCCATGTGTGAGCTGTGTCAGTATCCTGGTTCCCTGGTCTTCATATACAAAAGCCTTAAGAGGACAGAACTCCTCCTACCATTCTCTGCTCCTCCAAACATGCTCCCCCATGGGAAAAAAAGAATGTATCTACTTGATTCACATGAGAAAAGGACTACTCAGCTCAGGCCTCTGGATTCTCCTCCTAAGATAAAATTGCCAGTCCAGAAGGTACATTCTGATCTGTGATACATGCAGCAAACTTCTCACATAAGAGAACAGAGCAACAAAGCAGAATAATCTGGGAAAACTTAGAATAAAGGAAAAAAATATTTTAAATATTTAATTTTTTTAACTTAAAAAAAGATTTATACCTAAACAAGAGCAGATATTTTAAGGAAAAAATAAAGGATTGCTAAAAATTAAAATAATATAGCAAAAATAGAAAATTCTATTGAAAACCTTCATATACACTTAAGGAAGCTTCCCACAAAAACGGAAATTAAAAGGAAAAAAATGAAAAGATAATCAGAAGACAATCACTGCAGGAAGACAAACATCCATTTCAAACAAGTTTCAGAAAGAACATAAGCACACAAAAGAAAAAGCTGGGTGTCTTACAAAAAGAATACAAAGCCTAGCCAAAAGGTGGTACACCTTTCATACCAGCACTCCAAAGGCAGAGGCAGGCCGACCTCTGAGTTGGAGGCCAGCCTGGTCTACAGAGCAAGTTCCAGGATAGCCAGAGCTACACAGGGAAACCTTGTCTTGAAAAATTAAAATATATATATAAAACTGACACAAATTAAGTATATATATTGTAAGGTTTCAATACACTGGAAATAAATGAAAAGCTACCTGATAGTGTCTATGCAGAAAATCAATCACATAAAAAAAAAAAATCAACCATCATACTAGTAGAGAGAAAAGGGAACAACCCAATGTCTACATCAGTATTACTTCTATGCTAAAATGTTCTTTCTAACCAAAATAACAATCACATGTGGACATAGACACGTTTGTCTATGGACACACACACCCTGCCCTAAATGTGTCCAATCCAATCTTACCGCAGAAGCTAAGTAGTGTCAAAGCTGGTTAGTACTTGAAAGGGAAAATAAAGATATATTTACAAATTGAAGATCTCAAAAACGTTTCCACCCATAAATTCATTATCAAAAAAGTTAAAGAAAATGAGTTAGTCCAAAAGAGAGTGGAGATGCAGCTCAGAGGTGGCACGCCTGAGAGGCGTCCATGCAGCCCTGGGTCACGCCCACACCTAACAAGGGGGAGGACGGCTAAATAGGCGTCTAAAATAGAAGGAAATAAAGAATGCCCAGGTGACATCAAAATCCTGTTTAAACTTGGACAGGTGAATGTAAGTCTCTCTGAAGCGTGCTTGGGGAGGAGGGGGATGAAACTCACCCAAGTGTTACCATGTTTAAGCTTCCCGCAGAGACTTGAACTTCTACTAAGGAAGACGGGCTAAAATAATAATATGCCTGAAGAAATTAGGCAAGTGAAAAATTGGGCAATTATTAACTCCAGGAAAATCTTCTTGTACGAGAAAGGAAATGTAATGACACACTACTGCAGCCCCCCCCTTCTGAACGGTAAACAGCACAAGGAAAACTCTAACTTAGTCCAGAAGTTAAGCACACACAACTCTGGGGTAAACCTCATCTGCCCTGAGACATGACACAAAGGAGAACCTCCCAGGACCCGCGCGACACTGCGTTCTCGGTTCCTTCACCTCCAGGCTTCCACACGCTCACCAACAACACCAACGACCACTTACAAGACAACCTGGGAAGCAACAGCTCATGCATCTTAAACTGACTCTCAGGGGAGAGAGGTGGTCAATGGGCTGTCAATCAACCCATGGCTTAAAGACTATTGGGCTTTTGCTGTTCCCGCTGCTGCTCCTCCTGCTGCTGCGGTTTGGTTTGGTTTGGTTTGGTTTGGTTTGGTTTGGTTTGGTTTGGTTTGGTTTGGTTTGGTTTGAGACAGAGTCTCACTGTGTAGCCCTGGCTGGCCTAGAACTCTCTATATAGACCAGGCTGGCCTTGAACTCACAGAGATCGACTTGCCTCTGCCTCCAGAGTGCTGGAATTAAAGGCGTGCGCCACCATGCCACCTACTGGGCTTTTTGAGCCATACACACAAATTATTTTGCTTTCTTCTTAGATTTATTTTTATTTTATGAATGTTTTGACTTCAGGTGTACACATGCACCACATGCATGTTGGTGCCTGTGGAGGCCCTAAGAGGGTGTTAAGAGCCCTGAATCTGGAGCCACAGGCAGTTGTGAACCACCACATGGGTGCTGGGAACAGAATCCAGGTCCTCTGCTTTCTACTGGTTATTATTAAGGCACGCTATGCAAGTAAACATTGATTTTAAAGACCATGTTAGGTGTAAACAAACATGACTTCCTATTTTCTGACACAAATATAAAGATTATGTATTAAAATGCAGGTTCTATGGGGCAGGAAAGATGGTTCAGTAGTTAAGAGCACTGGCTGCTCTTCCAAAGGACCCAGGTTCAATTCCCAGCACTGACATGACAGTTCACAACTGTCTGTAACTCCTGCTCCAGGGAATTCGACACCCACACACAGATATACGCACAGACAAAACACCAATGTACATAAAATAAAAAATGCAGGCTCTCTAACTTGAAAGAAAGGAGACTCGGGAGTTCACCGGCAGCCCAGGCTATACGAAGTCCTGTATCAGCAAGAGGAAACTAAACAGCAACTGAAGAGAGAGCTCAGTGGGGAAAGTGCTCGCCACCCAAGTGAGAGGCCCTCAGCTGCATCCCCAGAGCACACGAGGAAAGCAGGTGTGGCAGCAGTACCAATGCCAGTGCTGGAGAGGCAGCAACAGGCAGACCCTGAGGGCACACTGCCAGCAGGCTCGGCCTACTTGAGGAGCCCTTGATCCCACTGAGATACCCTGTCTCAAAAACAGCACACTGCCAGCAGCATGGCTCAGCTGGTAAAGGCACTCACTGGCCACCAAGTCTGACGACCTGAGTTTGATCCCCAGGACCCACGTGGTGGAAGACAGAACCACTCTCACAAGTGACCCTGTGACCTCCACATGCACACTGTTGTCTGTGTGTATCCTTAACCACAAACCCAAGCACACACTCACACTCTTGTCTGTGTGTCCTCCTTCCCAAACTCAAGCACACACATACACACAAATAAAGAAATACAATAAAAAAAAATCTTAAAATCTCCTACAGGCACTACATACCTGCACACTCATGCTAAGAATACTAGCATGTGCTCCCTAAGTGTGATAAATTTAGTATGTTTACAGTACATTTTACAACATTAATTCTTGGTTGGATTACAAAAGAATTATACAGACAAGAAGTATAACTTCACTTGCCTACATTTTTTATTTTGAACCCAATCATCACTTTGCTTAATTCTCCATTTGCCGGCTCCTGCCATACTAAAAATTATGATTAGGTTTTAAATAAGTTTTAACAGCATCTGTAATTAAATCATTAAAGCTGAAACTGCAATAAAGCATCTAGAACAAGGTAGCAGCTGCCCTGGGAGAAACCACATATCTAGTGCCCTGTGAAAAGGTGTCCCTTTTTAGTACATTACAAATGAAGACAGATACTTACCTCGGCAATATTCCATTAAAATAAGCACTTCCCACACATTATCACTAATTGAATTGACAGCACAGTCCAAATAACCAACAATGTTTTTGTGGCCAGATAGTTCCTTCTGTGAAGAGAAATAAAAATTTTAAAACTAGAAAATATAAACCTTAAACTTCTATAAATAAAAGGCATAAACCTAAATAGGTAGATTTAATAAATTTCTAAAAATAAGAATAAGGCATTAGAATATTTTATTTCAGCCAGTGATTTCTATGGTGAATTTTTCATTGGAAAATTCAATGCATATGTGACAGTCATTATCTAAGATAAACAAGCAAAATGATCATTTGTGTACAGGTTCAACCACAAGAAAGTGATAAAAACAATAATCTATCAAGAGCTGGCAACACAGCTCAGCCAGTAAAGACACTTCTCACCAAGCCTGAAGACCTGAGTTCGATACCCAGGACCAACCTGGTGGAGGCAGAAAACCAAGCCCCACAAGTCACCCTGACCTCCACTGATGCTGCCCCCAACACACCCACACAAATAAATATAATTTAAAAAATAATAAACCAAAGTGTATAATATAGTACTCTGAAATTCAAGAATAAAGTATTAGAACTCTAATTATATCTATCTAAAAAAATAAAGGAATTAAGCTCTAATGTTAATGAACTACTTTCATGTTTTTCCTAATTACAACTTATGTAGAACTCTTCCATAGACCCATGGGAACATGTACTTTTCACTAAATCTAAAACAGGAACAGGAGGCCAGAAAACATTTGTGGAAAAGAACTCACAGATTAAAGATAACACTAATGATGTGCTCAAAGAAATAACAAAATGGAAACTCTAAAAACTTTTTCTCCTTGTACAAAAGTCATCAGCATATAATGAGGTTACAAACAGGGCTGGAGTCAGCTCAGTGGTAAGTGCTGCCAAGCATGTGTGAAGATGGGGGGGGGGCACGATTATTTTAAATGAATTTACAACTACTGTCATTAATAATATACCCAGTTTCGACTGTGCAACTGGTCAGAACTACCACTTGCAAAACACGTTAAACACACAGTGGAAGATGGGTTGCAAAAAAAAAAGTTGAAGAGCATCACCACTCCACAGGCATACTCTCCTTGCAATGCCTTGTTCAAAGGCAGAAGAAGATCTGCCTGCTGCTGCTGCTGCTGCTGCTGCTGCTGCCGCCGCCACCACCATTACTCCACAGGTCTCATAATTATACAAACTCTACCAAGCGGAAGATTATGGCAGAGTAGTACATCATGTAGACTTGAGTTAGAGAACTCGATAGAGACTTTGCCGTTATCTTCAAGTAATTCTTTTTCAACCTTTGGCTAATATGTTACTTTAACGTGTCTCAAAGCATCTCTAAACCAGCTAAGAATAGAAACAATTGGAATTCAGTAAATCAGATCGCATAAATATATTTATTTTTTAAGTGTGGATAAAGACAGTGATAGAGAGTGAGAAATCCCCCTAGCAGGAAGATAGGTGGGACTGGCATTAGGACACACTGCCAGGAAGAACACACATGGTTCAGCTGTACAAGAGACTGGCTGTACCTCCAGTTTATAAAATGAACCTAGGTATGTAACCAAGGAGAGAAACTGAGGACTCAAGGACAAGAACACACAAATGCACAGCATTCAGCTAGTCACAGAAGCCAAAAAAGGTCGAAACTGCCCAAAGAACTATGAGTTTTTCTCCATGAAGAGATGAAACTGTGGTGTTCACAGAGTATCATTTGGTGACAGGAAAGAAGTTAACTACTGGTGAACACTACAAGGTCTATGAACCTCAAAGGCATTGGGGTGAGGGCAGTAAAAAGGAAACCCACTGGACAACCCCACTTAGAGGGAATATTTAGAACAGAAGTCGACAAACACAGAGAGAAGGAAGGGTGCTTGCTAGGAGCTAGATGAAGGGGAAATGGAGTTAACAGTAAGGTGGGTAGGGTTTTCTAGGGGTGATGAAAAGGTTTTGAAACTACACAGAGGTAGTGATTATGAATGTGCTAACTAAATCAATTAATTGTCTATTACTAAGTCAAACTAAGAAAATACAGAGGTAAAACTGAGCAGGAGCTGGGCGGTGGTGGCGCACGCCTTTAATCTCAGCACTTGGGAGGCAGAGCCAGGCGGATCTCTGTGAGTTCGAGGCCAGCCTGGGCTACCAAGTGAGTTCCAGGACAGGCACCAAAACTACACAGAGAAGCCCTGTCTCAAAAGAACAAAAAAACAACAACAAAAAAAAAAAAAAAAGCAAAAATCTGAGCAGGAAAGGGGAAGAGAAGTGAGGGGCCGAAGGCCCAGAGAACACTAATCACGGAAAGAAGGGTGCCACTTCAAAACCGCGCTGCACCGTTTACTCGGTCACTGATGTTTCTACTAGTCTAGTAACATAACGTCACTCTGCCTGGTAATTAGCAATACTTCCCTTGCTGGAGGACAACTGGCCCTACAAAGCAGTTGACAGAAAAAGCAGGTTACAGCAGGACTGTGAAGTGAGAAACAAAACTATGTTTGCGGGTCTCAATATGAGAGGAATGCAGAAAGCGTGGACAGCAGCCACAGTCACCACCCTGAGAACGGGAGTCTCTTTCTGCATGAGAAAAACCGTACCTAGACACAACTGGGCAAGGAAAGGGAGAAGGCCTCACGCATCTGTCAGGTAGATAAACCTGGTGTTCACTGTAATTCTCTGAGTGTTCCGTGCTCCCCAGACCCCACAATTACAATGAACCTGAATGGAAAGAAGGGCACACTGCCTGGAAACTGCACGGAGAAGTCTCAAGTGCGGCCAGAGGCCGTCAACTACAACTCCCACCTGATAATTTAACTGAATGAGTTTTCAAGAGTGGGTAAACTGATACATAACTTGCCTAAAACTGTGGATGCTGTAGTATAAAACAAAAGGAAAGCAACCAAACTTCTAAAACAACATTTTCTCTCACTTACCATAATTGTGATTTCCCTTTTACAAATGTTGAGGTCGGCTGTGTTATTGACATACATTCGCTTCAGTGCACATCGGATCCCACCGTGAGTCCGCACCAGGAAAACAGTGGAGAATCCACCTACAAGAGGAAGCACCAATCCATTTAAAACCACCAGAGACTACCATCAAAATTATACACTATAATTTTTACTGGACATGGTGGTACATGCTTTAATCCCAGCACTCTGGAGGCAGAGGCAAGCGGATCTGTCAGTTCAAGGCCAGCCTGGTCTACAGAATGAGTTCCAGGACAGTCAAGGCTACATAGTAAAAATACAAAAAAAAAAAAAAAAGTAATTAAAATTACACTTATACTCACACACTCACACCTGTGCGCGCGCGCGCGCACACACACACACACACACGCACGCACACATCATTTGTAGCAGAGGGAAATAGTCAAGGACTATATTTAAGACAAAAATCAACACAGTAAGCAGTTTATTGATTAAGAGCCAAGTGCTGGCTTCCTGTGTCAATCAGGAAGAGCACTTTCAGAGCCACACGATTCTCAAATGAATCTGCTTCTATTTTTAAGGACAATATACAAAAACTCACTTTTCCACATAAATACCTGTGATGAGGTACACAAAAATGTCCTCATACAACTAGTTTGACAATACTAATTATCACCCACCCATCTTGACGACGCATAGCTACTGTTTAACACTCAATATAGCTAAGCTGGGACAGTTAGACCCTCCTCCAATTGCAGGGATGAGCTCACCATATCTAAGCCAATCGTGGGATCTCACTTTGCTAATCAGCAACTGACTTTAGGATGGATACTGGCCAGCTATAACTCCTGGGTATAAGGTAGGTAAAGTCTACTGGGGTCGCAGGAATCATTTTCCTAAACAATGAAAGTGCGTGGCAGAGAAGGCCCCACTCTTCTTTCCCACTTTTGTATAAGATGATGCCTAGGCATGATGTCGACAGATAACCTGTGGCCATGGTGATCTGAAAGAAAATGGTTCAGAACACTGACAGGTGGGCTACTGAATTAGCCAACCTCCCTCCTGAACTCAAGTGAGATGGTAAGTACCTTTATCTACACCTTTACTCTCTTTACTGCATCTGAGAAAGTACTTCACTTGAAGTACATACTTAGATAATGCTATTAAAAATCAATTCTTTGCCGGGCGGTGGTGGCGCACGCCTTTAATCCCAGCACTCGGGAGGCAGAGCCAGGCGGATCTCTGTGAGTTCGAGGCCAGCCTGGGCTACCAAGTGAGTTCCAGGAAAAGGCGCAAAGCTACACAGAGAAACCCTGTCTCAAAAAACCAAAAAAAAAAAAAAAAATCAATTCTTTTTGTCAAATCTAAGATAAGATTCTCATATTAAATTTTTAAGACTCATTTTTGGTATAGAACATTCTATAGTTTTTATAAAAGGTCTATCAATTCTGTTAATACTATAAAGGCATGGTTGTTAAATTAGTGCTACAGGTAGAAAACATGACACAAGGGTATTATGAGACACTCTAGACACTTTCAAACGGCATGAGAGAGAGTTAGCAACAGATACAGATCTGACAGAGGACAGAAGAGTAAGTGTCCACTACAGAAGTCAATGTGACAATAAAAGTGACTGCCATCTTCCCTAACCCCGAGTTTCTTCCCATCTTAGGTATATACTCTAAAGAACAGCCTAGCTTTCTCGAGGCTCTTATGTGAAACGATTCCATGGGACACCTAACTGAGGCGTTACCGCCTCCTTCCACACCTCTCTCTCTCTCTCTCTCTCTCTCTCTCTCTCTCTCTCTCTCTCTCTCTCTCTCTCCACACACACACACACACACACACACACACACACACACACTCATTAATTAAATGATAATATGCTTTGTTGGAGAATTCTACCTAGGTTTTACAAGCTATTATACAAACACATGGGCTTTGTTTTGTTTTGTTTTGTTAAGCGGGTACGCCCATTCACTAGGAGCTAACACTCCATCGGTAGTGGGAAAAACAGCTCACGCTGAACACTGCAAGTTGCTCACATATATTGCACTGGAAACAGAGGCTGAGTTAAAAGACTGAGAGTTATAAGGCAGAGTATGACACACTGAGGTGATGAAGGTGATGAATAAGAGGGCTTGGAGTTGAGCATGAGATAACAAAGCTGGACAGGTGAGAGGTAGAACAGGGCTCTGGGCCCCTGACAGCTGGCCAGGTGGCTACCACCAAACCCTTGAGGAACACAGAATAAGACACAAGTGCCTGTGCTGGCTAGTTTATGTCAACTTGACAGAAGCTATTGTCATCAGAGAGGAGGGAGCCTCAAGTGAGAAAATGCCTCCATAAGATCTGGCTGTAGGCAAGACTGCAGGGCATTTTCTTTCTTCTCCTCCTCCTCCTCCTCCTCCTCCTCCTTCTTCTTCTTCCTTCTTCTTTTTTCTTTTCTTTTCTTTTTTTGGTTTTTCGAGACAGGGTTTCTCTGTGTAGCTTTGGTGCCTGTCCTGGAACTCACTCTGTAGCCCAGGCTGGCCTCCAACTCACAGAGATCTGCCTGCCTCTGCCTCCCGAGTGCTGGGATTAAAGGCGTGCCCCACCACCGCCCAGCTATAGGGCATTTTCTTAGTGATTGATGGGGAGGGGGATCTGTGGGGGAGTCTATAGGAGGGCTGGTGGTCCTGGGTGCTAGAAGAGAGCAGGCTGAATGAGCCATGGGGAGCAAGCCACTAAGTATCACTCCTCCATGGCCTCTACATCAGCTCCTGCCTCCAAGTTCCTGCCCTGTTTGAGTTCCTGTCCTGACTTCCTTCAAGGACAGACTATGATGTGAAAATGGTACTCAAAGCCTCTTATCCCAAACTTGCCTTTGGTCACGGTGTTTCATCACAGCAATAGTAACCCTGACTAAGACAGCGTCCTTTCTTATATTCTGATTTCTAATGCAGCTAACTGTAACAGGCAGAATTCTAAGTAAAGACTCTTCTATCAAGAAGCATACACCTAGGAGACCACTTCAGATCACCTCTAGATATGGAGCTAAATGTGAGGCAACCAAGAGAACTGCAGCTATTTCCCAGCTGTGAGAGAGAGGCAACTCTCCACCATGAGGAGCTACATGCCTAGTTATACGAATGTGAGAACAAAGAAGCAGTCTAATTCACAACTGTGAAATGCAAGGTTGGAAGTCCTAATGTTACCCAAGTGACTAACAGGAGAAAGCCAAGGTCAGTAACAACAAAGCCTGAGTCAGAGACAAACAAAGGCAGCTTCAACACCGCTCAGTGGGCAGACAGCACAAAAACAATGCATGATCATCTCCCGGACTGGGCTAAGTAAAAGGACATGAACAGGGCATATGGCCTTCCTTTGGTTCTGCCCATGTTAGCCCAGGGGCCTCCACCTTTGTCCAGTTTTCCTACAAAAACCCTAAACTGGAGTTCAGTAGCTTTTTCCTCTCTCAGAAACTCCTCCATCTCTTGGGAGTCTCCCTCTTTTCCTTAGCTTCTCACTATCCCTTTGTTCTACAAACCTTAAAGCTTGTTTCCACTTTGCGTACTCTCACAAGAATTCCAATTTTTAATTTTCTTTGGCATAAGACAACATAGAGCCACTATCTCAAGTTAACCTTTGGTGACCAGCACCAAGCCAGGCAGTGGTGGCATGCGCCTTTAATCCCAGCACTCTGGAGGCAGAGCCAGGCAGAACTCTGTGAGTTCAAGGCCAGCCTGGTCTACAGAGCGAGATCCAGGACAGGCACCAAAGCTACACAGAGAAACCCTGTCTCAAAAAAAAAAAAAAAAAAAAAAAAAAAAGATCCTGGGTCAAACAAAGCTGTGCTGTGGGATGTTCTGTATGGCAAATGTGTTGCTCTGATTGGTTAGTAAATAAAACACTGATTGGCCAGTAGTCAGGCAGGAGGAAGTATAGGCAGGACAAGGAGGAGAAGAATTCTGGGAAGTGGAAGGATGAGTCAGAGATACTGCCAGTCGCCGCCATGACAAACAGCATGTGAAGATGCCGGTAAGCCACGAGCCAAATGGCAAGGTATAGATTTATAGAAATGGATTAATTTAAGATATAAGAACAGTTAGCAAGAAGCCTGCCATGGCCATACAGTTTGTAAGCAATATAAGTCTCTGTGTTTACTTGGTTGGGTCTGAGCGGCTGTGGGACCAGCAGGTGAGAGAGATATGTCCCGACTGTGGGCAAGGCAGGAAAACTCTAGCTACAAAGCTGGGCAAAGGGTCCTGTTATACTGAAAAGCCCAGTACCATCATAATGTGATGGGGGATTACAGAATTTCTCGTCAATGTAAGTACAAATATCTCCTCCCGGTTGTCTGTTTCAGTTGGCCCACTAACTGTGTTTCCAAATGAAAAAGCCTGCGTACTATTTTTATGAATATAAAGGAACAGCAAGAGAACAAAGCGGAGTTTGCCTGCACTGAGGAACTAAAGGAGAACATCACCTTTCCTTCGGAGGCACTGCAATGTTAGATGTTAGAAGTTGTGTTGTTTGCAGACAGTTTTAAAAGGAACATAAAACACTGTCCCTTAGACACATGTCAAAGAAGAAGGAACATGACAATAACCTGAAGCTGGGTACAGTGAGAAAGCCGAACTGACTTAACCACCTTTCGGATGCTTGCATATCATGTTTAAAGATTAGAAAGATTTGAACTTGCTTAATTATTGGTTGACGGCAAACATCTTAGGAAATACCATTTCTGGATAAGAAAGATGTGTTTCATTATTTGTTACAAAAAAATTCTATCCAATTCTAACATGATCTACCCATAGTTAGCATAAACCCCACAAGATTACCCTCATGTCAAACAACAGTTGTATGTTCTGGTGACCACTGGATTGATAACAAAGTATTAAACCTAAAAGGAGTCATGGAAACCTTAAAATTTGGAAGTCAGTAGAAGATATCAGGAAGATGCAAAACAGAATTGTCATGTACTTGATAAATACTGATATGTTCATACAATTAGACTTCCTTATTCACTGCATGAATTTTTTTTTTAATTCTCACCACTTCCTGTCTGTACCACATGCATAGTTAGTGCTATTTATTAAGGGGAAATATCTTGAATCCCTTGTTAAAACTAGTATTTATC